TGTGTGTGTATATATATGTATATATATATATATATATATATATATATATATATATAAAAAAAAAAAAAAAAAATATATATATATATATATATATATATATATATATATATATATATATATATATATATATATATATATATATATATATATATATATATATATATATATATATATATATATATATATATATATATATATATATATATATATATATATATATATATATATATATATATATATATATATATATATATATATATATATATATATATATATATATATATATATATATATATATATATATATATATATATATATATATATATATATATATATATATGGTATAATATATATATATATATATATATAGTTTTTTCGTAATTTAACTTTCCATAATTTTCCATCTATATATATATATATATTCATGTAGCATGCATGTACAATGTATGTTTCCATAATCATTTCTTCATCATTATATGACGGATTTTCTTAAAAATAAATTTATATGTAGTTTTTAAAATAATTAAGGACTATACATAATGCAATGGAGACAACAAATTGTCTAGCAAAAATTATTATGCATGCATGCTGCAGTACTGACAAAAAAAAAAACTATGACAAGGATCTAGTTAGCTGTCAAAGCTAGGATTTATCGTAAACTGACAAACAAACGACTGATATTGTCGACCATCTCGTGATTGATTGATAAACAAAACCCTACAAGTGCCACGTCATTTAGGGTTTAGGGGTGTTTATTCGAACAAATTTCATTTTGTTTATCGAACCAAAATATAATGTTTAATTTTGTATAGTAAATTACCGAATTAACAAAAAAAATTAAACAAAAATATTCAAAAAATTAATTGTAATTCGATTTTTTTTTCTTAATTTCCTTAACGTAAATAATTAATAAATATGTATAATAATAAATACTATTTAAAACTAAGGAATCATAAAAAATAATGGAAATATATTAATCACCTCAAACATATGAAAAATAACCCATTGCCTCTTGTTTTCTTGAAATTCTATCTTTTCCTTATCCTTTTTTCTTTTTCTTTTATTTATTTAATTTTTTTTGAAATTTTATTATTTATCGTAAAGATTTAACTGGACAACGTGGCCCAATAGTACTAACAAATTATCAATGTGATCTATTATCGAAAAGTGGTTCAGCCCAGTGGGCCTAACCCATACCCGTAAATAAAGGACCATTTCATCCATATTGGGGCAGCCCTTTGGGCTTTATTCTTGAATGTTAAAACATAGACGAAAAAATGTTCTCGGAAATGGTCCAAATGGATGATCTAACAGTTGGAACAAGTGCGACTGTGTCAATTGACTCATATTCGAATGCCCCAACAAACAATCGAGCTTATGTAGTTTACGTCTCTCGTATGATTTGCAAGCTATTATACGAGAGAATGTAGGAAAAATGGAGAATACTTTAAGAATATAAACTTTTTTGTTTTTTCGAAAAAAAAAAAAATATAAACTTTATAAATGATCATTATTTATTACAACACATGTTTAATTTATTGCTGACGTAATCAGGGATTTATGATAGCATGCATTACGTTGTAAGAAATAAAAAGATATAAGGTGGTTTAAGATCCTAATTTTCTCCTAAATAAGTAAATAACTAAAATATATTTATGTTAGTTTAAACAATTTTATTTAAATCTTTGTATTGATCAAGAAACATTTCCATGTTATACTTCGATTCAGTACTGTCTATCCAGTGATTGGACGACACGTCAGAATCATACTTATTACAAATAAAACACGTTTCGAAATTACAAAGAGAAGTGGCCATGTTTTTATTATGTGTAAGTGTTGTTAATGCACAGTTTGTATTAAATAGGCAAGGGACCAGCTGCTATGTAAATTGAGAGCAAGTGTGTGTGCGTTTTAAATAATCGGGCCGAGTCGATTTCCATATCGGAGGCTGTCCAATACCTTTACGATTTTAGTATAAAGTATAAATTGAAAATTCGGGTTTTCCCTGTAAGGCGTTCCGAGGCACGTTAATGCTTTCAGTTCTTTGAGGTCAAACTTTAATTGCAAAAATTGTTTGTTTTTTAATAACTACAAAAAAAAAAAAAAAAAAAAATAGGCCTTTTAATGAAAAAACAAGTTTATACTTTATTTTGTTTTAATGACGTATGCTTCAATCATTTTTTTTTCAATGCAAAAGTTTTTTATTTTATTGGTGTTTTGTAAGGATTTTTATTGTATTGTGATATGATTATTGTTGAAGTTTTACTATGCGATTATGGTAATATAAAATGATTGCACTAAAATTATGTTTATATATATGTCTAAGTCTAGACTATTAATTTACAGATAACTTCTAAATTATATTATTTAAACGAGTTTATTAATTTATCTCACGAATTTCATGTGCGCGACATAGTTCAACCTAATTCTGCAACTCATGAGTCACTTTAAGCAATAAATCCTAATAAAAAGTACATGTTCTACTACGTGTCGGCTAAGCTGTTTTCCAAGAAATGTGGAAAACGACATAGTTTTGTATTTCCTAAAATTAAATTGTTAGGAAAAAAAGATGGTAACAAACTTTTCCTTATTTATGAGTTAGGTCCCATTGCTTTTATTCTCTGGTTTTCAAGTGAGACACTAAATAAACTCACCTTATTTTTTGTTGGCATGAATTTGGATATATCTCACTATCTATCTCTATATATGGTCCTACACAAATGGTTTATTTTTTAAATTTATAAATAATTTAATTAGTTCTTGTCGATAGAAAAAGAAATTGTGGGCATGTCGACAAAATATCTATCTTATTTTCAATCAAGATTAATCTTAGAAATTTGTACACTATTTTACTTCATCTCCCCTCTCAACAATTGTTCCAACTAGAAATTGAACCTGTAACTTAGTTTTAAATACTATTTGTAAGATCTTAAACGCCATCGATTGTTCTTAACTAATTAGTGTCAGAAAATACACAAAAATTAGGCCTACGACGTTGGATTGTACGCCGATCATACCCTGATCTCTTCACGTGGACAATTGTAGTCAAATCCAGACTTACAAGTACAACCTCAATAAAATAATAATTTCTTTCTATCTCGATTCAATAAAAATCGTATTAAATTATTTGTTTGATAATTTAATATTTTATTAAATTAATAGAGTCATCGGGCATTGGGTACCCACTTGCATAGTAGAATTGATTTTTGGGTAAGAAAAAGAATTATAACAAATAAATTAAGGTTTTGTTTGTAGTACATTAGTATTTCGGGCACGTGCCTATATGATTTTATCTATGATGCATAGGACGATCTTATTTCTCATAGTAATAATTGTGCTTCAATTAATTAATGACTTGGCGTCGTCTTTGAAAAGTAAATTAAATTAAATGATAGTGCTGATTATTATTATTATTATTATTATTATTATTATTATTATTATTATTAATATTTTATTTATTTATTTATTGTTTTGACTTTTAGTGTGGTTTTAGGCCATGAACCTGTACCCAATCTAGCAAAGGTGGCCGCCTTCGTCCTTATTTATTTTTTTATTTATTTTTTAATTTTTATTTATTTATTATACAAAAAATAATATGAGATTAGATGATTATTTTTGACTCTTGAATCATGATTATTAGTTTATTACAACTCCATCCCCTGCCATTCTAGTCATTGTTTAAGATTTATGCACGCAAATTCAAAACAACATTATAATAATATGAGAATTATATTATTTTTTGGATAAATTACAGCCATCCCTGATCATGTTAAATTACGAAAAACCCCATCATATTTACATATGGTCTTTACAATCAGCCATTAACTATGAATTTTCTTACACACGCACACCCTTGCGGTGTCAAATTTAGTAGAATATTCTATATTACGTAGAATATTTTTCAGTTTGTACCCGTTTTATCCTATTCGAGCTCCAATTTTGAAACAAAATAATCATAAGATGTGTCTCTTTACTTGTAAATATTAGACTGCAGTGCATTCTGAAAATGCATTTTTGCACAAGACGAGTACAAACTAGAGAACATTCCACGTAAGCTAGAAATTTCTGTTTAATTCAACATCACGCGGGTGTGTAAGAAAATTCATAGTTAAGGGAGATGATTGTAATTACCCAAACATGAGTAGTTTTTTCGTAATTTAACCTTACCTGAAGTGACCGTAAATTTTTCCTTAATTTTTTATTTTTTAAGGAAAGGAGTAAATGCATGCGATCAATTTGATCAACATATATATATATATATATATATATATATATATATATATATATATATATTTCCTTTATGTATGTATATTCTTCAAATATTATGAATAGACTCCAAATTTGACACAAGTTTGTAAAAGAAGTCCCTCACAATTTAATCAGAAATCAATTTATTTATTATCCTAATTCAATAAAATAAAATCCACCAAGCAAACATTTTAATTATAATTATCAAAATATTTGAGGTGATCACAAAGAAAATAATAATAATCCTATCTAGTGATATGCGAAATGAAAGAATCCAACTCCACTCGACTCAATCCACCTTCCCCCGCCGCCTTCCTAACAGCGCCGCCCAGCTCCGCCGCTCTCCTTCTCATCTCCTCCCCTTCCTCCGACCCCATCAGCCTCCCCACCGCCTTCTCCACGTCGTCCGCCGTCACGATCTCATCCCTCCGGCCCCAATCCTTAACAACCACCCCGATTTTCAACACTTTTGTGATCAGCACGGTGTTCCTCGGCTGATCGGAGTGCATCGGCCAGGCTGCGATCGGAACGCCCATCGAAATACTCTCCATGCAAGAATTCCAGCCGCAGTGGCTCATAAATCCGCCGGTGGAAGAGTGTCCCAATATCTCCAACTGCGGCGCCCATTCTCTCACTACAATCCCTCTCTCTCTAACTCTCTCCTCGAACTCAACTCTTTTACAAACCTCTCCGCCGCCGCCGCCGCCGCCGTCGGCGTCTCTCAGAACCCAAATGAATTTCTTTCCCGATCTCTCCAGCCCCGCCGCCAGCTCCTTGATTTGTTTCTCCGACAAAGTCGTCGTCGTCCCGAAAGAAACAAGAATCACGGAATCCTTCGCCTGCCCGTCGAGCCATTTCAAGCATCTATGCCGGCCTTTCTTAGATTCGCCGGAATATTCCAACACCACCGGATTGAACGGCCCGAGGGCCCACTGTTTCTTGTTCCCGCTGATCTCGGGTTTCTCCAACATCTCCATGAACTGACCCTCCACCACCCTGCATGTGTTGTAAATCCGGCCGGAGTTCAGCTTCATGTAGTCGTGTTGGCGGCGGACGAATTTCAAGAACTCCGGCGTGAAGCACCCCTCCATGGAAGGCAAGTCCTCCAGGATTCCGCCGTCGACGGCGAACGGCCGCCCCACGTTCTCCCAGAGGAAGAAGAAAATCGTGTACGCCGACACGCTGTGGAAAGTGTACGCCTCCGAGTTCGGGAACTCGATGAAATCCTGAACCACCGATCCCATCAGCGAGTCGTAGACGACGATGACACGTCGGCTGGCGGCGCACAGGCGCCGCAGCAGCTGGCTGACGGGGCGGCGGAGGGCCGACAGCGCGTCGAACAACGGCTGGTGGTGCGAAGGGAACGGGGTGGTTGACGGCGGCGCGGAGGTGTCCGGCGGCGGAGATTCGAATGAGATGGGTGAGAAGTCGTGGAAGATGATGTTGTTGGGGTTGGAAAGTGGGTCCCAGCCGTGGATCCGCCGCCGTGCCTGGCGGTTGTGGGTGGTGGTGCCAACGTAGTGGACGGGGACGTCGGCGGCGGAGATGAGGCGGGAGAGGTGGAGGAGCTGGTTGAGATGGCCTTGAAGAGGGAAAGGCACCATAACCACCGCTACCTGATCTTCTGCAGATTGCTTTACGCCGCCATTGGAGCCCATATTTGGAGATCAGTATATGAAATGAAATTGCTGTATGTGTTATTTACATTTTGTGCCATGAGTATATATTATATATATATAGTCGGTATTGGATAAGAAAATGCAAATATAATTAATAAATATATATTTTATATATTAAAAAAAAAAAAAAAAGGAAAAAAGGGGAAATTGGTTATGCAACTTTAATACAGTTGTGTTGAATCTATATGTCGATTGTCGACAAGATTCAAATAATAATAACAATAAAAAGAAAATCAATAAGAATGTGTCACATGAATAGCTATTTAATTGATAAAATAAGATATTGCAATGTCATTTTATAAGGTCCATTTCGCTAAATTTATTTCAAACAGCTGTTAATCTCTTATTTTTTATAAGTTGTTGTAAATACTGATAAATTGTTACATTTTATTTTTCGAATTAATTTTTAAAGTGTTTAGATAATAAATTTATAAATTATTTTTATACATTATAATATTTTAAATAAAAATATGGGGAAGAAGTACTTTTCAAGAAAAAATAATTTGCTCTTTCAAAACTTATATTTCAAAATTTTAGTTTGTTTAAAATAAATTACTGAACACTACGCAAGAGTTTATAAACTCTTAAACATGCACTCAGCCAAACACGTGATCAGACAACTTATAATTAAAATACAAAAATATTGTAAAGGTTATTTCGATCAACATCTTATGCAATGACGTGTAGATATATATAATGTGTATATATCATAAAGGATTGATTTTATTAATTTCGAGTATGGCAATGCATAAAGATTTATTTATATTTATGATCATACTAGATTTAGATCACCTTAGAGTGATGAAATAAGATGAGCTGGAAGAGCAGAGTGGGTCATTGACTCACGAGCTTGATGACCTTGAGATACCTGCAATCATAGAACACGTGAACTAGGCCGGGAGTTGATCCGGCGGAAACCCCTCCGACGCTCAAGTCAGACGTGCGGATCGTGGAAATAGTCCAGAGAATACATGTTGTAGTATTGCTCAGTTAATAGGACGTACCTTAAGGAATGAGTTCAAACATTTATTTATAGCTTAGTTGAGATTGTCGAGCCCAAATCTTACTTGAAGGTGATTGGACATCGATAATAGTGGTTTTCAATATTGGGTTCGTGGCCCAGTAGATAAAAGAATTGTAGGCCCATTGAATTGACCCAATTATACATATCAATTTCCAATATATATACTATTGTGTATTAAGTGATATCATAAAATAAATAATAATAATAATTAAAAAAAACAAAAAGGTTATAGTGAATTTGGTACGAACTACCAATAGGGAATCGTATCCAGCTTTTATATTCCCCGTCCATGCTTGCAATAACATGTGCAAGCCTAATCTTTATTTAATGATAGTGACATTTAATTACTATTTTATTATTATTATTATTATATTCTTAATTACAGTCTTATCTTTGGACTAAAAAACTTGATATTCTAAACTAATTAATCTTCGGTGATTGCATCACTTGAAAGAGGGGTACAGAGAACATGAGCCCACTGGAATCTTGACATTATTAAATTCCAATAATTCATTTTTTTCCCCTTTTTTTTTTGTAAATTTCTATATTTCTTTGAATAATTAATTATGAATTATAAATTGACGATTTAAAAAAAAAAAAAAAATTAAATATTGGTAATTGGCGGCTTGACACATTAAAATGGGCCACGTTGCATTTCTTACCAAATAGTTTAATTAATGAAAGTATATTTAAATTGGGCTCTAGAATCTAGAAGGATCCAGCCCTTTTAGACATTTTTTTTTTTGATAATTATGCCCTTTTAGACATTAGTACTAGATAATTCTTGTTGACTTTGTCTACTCTCCTTCATTAGTTAATAAATATTAAAATAAAAACAATTTTCTTTTTAAATAATTATACATAGACATTTATAACTATATTGAGTCTATATATTAGATGCAAAATTCTATTTGGCTAAACTTATAAGCTCTTCCAAACAGCTTAAAAACTCTTTATTAGTTACTAAAAAATAGTTTTTCTTTAATAAAAATAGCTACTTCTTCTTTTTTTTTGAAAAAAATAAGCTATTTGAGGGTATAATAAGCTATTTTATGAGAAGTTGATACTTCAATTTTAAGATCCAATTTTTTATATATATATTTAAAAAAAAATTAGATTCAATTTTCATTAAAATGTTATATAAGATTAACTGTATTTTTTCTTTTTAATATTTATTTATAAACCACATTGATTAATACTCGAGTTTAGACTTTAAATTAGTTGGCAGATTGTGTGCGCAAGTAATGCAATATCCAATTAAATGAATGTTGTTGTCAAGTGAAACACTGCGGCCGCCTATAATTGACTAATTTTCCTCTTTTGTTTTTTAAACACGATAAATTAATAATCTGGTCTAAATAACAATTTCTTCGGGTCGTCATTCAGTATAAACGTACTAAATTTTTAGTCCAAAAATTTATTATTTCACAGAATTTTGTTAAGTCCAAAGTGTATTAATTTATAAAGGCTTAACTGATGACCATTTACTTCAGTCTTCCAACAAAAGATGGTTCCGCCACTAAGTTAGACTTTCAAATTAATAGCATGCATATCACTAATAGAAATTTTGTTTTTTACTACGAAATTGTTTGCTACGGTAATAAAACATACTTTTTACTACGGAACAATTTTGAAGTCGTAGTAAATACTAGGATTTGCCGTAGCAAAAAAGTATTTGGTACGGCTATTTACCGTAGCAAAGTTTTTGTCATACTCGTATATGCTACGGGGCAAATTCGTAGCAAATGCGTAGCAAAAACATTTTTACTACATATTTAATTCTTTTTGCTACGGTTAATGGTCGTAGTAAAAAACCATTTTTCTACTAGTGTATATAATTAAGGGTAAATTACACACACCCCCCTGAGGTAAGCTTAAATAACTGTAAGGTCCCTGTGGTATCGATAATTACACTTAGCCCCCTGAAACGTAGTCAGAAACTCTAATGGGATAATGTATTGGATACGTTATTCCGATACGGTTCTAACGGACTATTGGTTTCAGAAAGTGGTGAAGACAACAAAGAGCTATGGGGTAACATG